TTATAAATACCTTATTTCTAACCTTATCGTTATTTAGTAGATTAGGATGGGTCGGTCCGGTCCCCATAAGGAGCTATTTTCCTAAATTTTTGGACTGATGAAACAATTACTCAAGATCGAATCGACAAGTTTCATATTACATAACTTATCGATTAGTCATCGGTCTCGGTCCTTTTACATTACACCTGATTTTTTGGTTCGAAACAATATGAGTGATGGCAATAACATCGATCATATAAAATTTATATAATCGAAGTCTAATCTTATACATAATTTTCATTAAATCGGATCAAACAATTTGATTGGTTAATGTGAATATCACAACAGGGATCGTTATGAGAATCAGTATAACCCAGCAAGTTTATTTTATAAAAAGTTTATTTAACCTAAGCTTATTTCATAGATAAGTCATTTACCAATGCTTATTTCATAGAAAATTTATTTCACCAACAGCTAATCTCACGAGTTTTTTTTTTTACAGCTTGTGCTAACCTTAAGCATAATCCTGATCTTAGGTAAGATAACAATGGATATAATTACTAAATTAGTGAATTAGCTGCCGGTGAATATAAATTATCTATGAAACGAACTGTCGATGAAATAATTGCCTATGAGATAAACTTGTCTATGAAATTAATTATCCGTAAAATGGGTTTATCCGAAAATTGATTATCCGTAAAGATAAGGTTTTCTATTAAGTAATTTTCTACGAAGTGAGTGGCACCGATCTCAAACACCTCCATCAATATGTTCATCAAAAATAACCTAAAATAACCTTATTAATGTATTAGCTGAAAAAATTGATTGTACAGACTAAAATTTTAAATTTCGTATTTTCGCATAACGAACTTTCGGCATAAAATTATTATAAAGGATTACTTTAATTAATCATAATGATTGAGCAATTACTCAGTTATTAGTAAATCACATTGGTTGAACGAGGACACCCATTGTCTATGAATAATAATTGTAAAATCTAACAGAGTTGCAATACTGATACTGAGTAATTTTATAGATCCGGAGCCGGATATATGGAATCTACATGTAGCAATATTTTAATAGCAATTAACGTTAATAAATAAAATAAATAAATAAATAAATATATATACACACATATATATATTGATATGATAACAGCCACATAGAGAAATTAAAGTGTATGATGTATGCTAATCATCATACAGTTATTATTTATTATATATTAACCACTGTAAAAAACCGGATCCTCGTCAACGGTAACAATCTGTTGATATTGAAATTAAAAGATTAGAACTTTACTGAAATTTATTATTAATGTAAAACTTGGGAATTAAACTTTTGCAAAAATTTTAATTGGAGAAGCAATATTGTGACAGGAAATATTTTATGACAATTAGCATATATATATATAACATTACATCGGTGGTTAGATACAAAGACAAGACTAAACTAAAAGAAAAGAATTACCTCTTTTGATATAATTAATTACTCTACACTATCGCTACTAACAATAATCAATTCATTTAGTATTATTCTCAATAACTTTCAATTTACTTAAAAGTGGCTATATGCAAAGCTATGCACATTTAGATATATGCATACTCAATTGAATATTGTTATGTTTCATATTGTTGTTAAAAAAAAAAAAAACCCCTTTTCACGCATTATAAAGAGATATTTTAAAGTAATAAATTAAATTGAATTGAAGCAAAATTAATCACCAACTGAGAGAAAAATTCTCGGCCAATTTTTAAATTACAATGAATTATCACCGTATATTATGGTATATATTTATAATATTAAACAATTTTAAACAATATTAAATAAGATTAAATAATATTAACCAAATTCAATACTTTTAAACAAATTCAATCATGTGGTATGTGTATACGCACGAATGCACGCATAAAGTTAAGTGAACATGCATCACTTATTATTAAACTTTATTACTAACTATAATTCGTTATAAACAAATAAAATAGTGCGATTAATGTAAAGATTCTAAGAGATCCACCCTTTCAGCCGTTTGTAGAATATTTAACATAAAATCGGTGAGTTGTGTTTTTTTTTTTCCTCTTTATTCACACTATTAATACTATTAATTGATCATGTGTTATTCACAATTGTATAAAGTTTTATATTTATATCCAAACATTCTCCTTCACATGAGTGAAAAAATATTAAAAAATTCCATTAAAACAATTTTTCAACCCATTTTTTGTATTCAAGAGAGAGGATTTCATGGGACAATGAAGATTGATCGAAATTCTAATTAAATAAAATTTATTTCTTAAAAATGGGATTGGTAGAGTCAATGAAGATGAATATCGACTATAGATTAGCAATCTCTCAGAGTAAAATCAAAAAACGTGTATACACATGCAAAGACTGCAACGACGATCTTGACGAGTTCAAAAAAAAAAAAAAAGGATGCGTATAAACTTAAAAAGATCGACTATTTCACATGAAAATTAAATGCATCACAGTCATGTGAGACTGAGAAAAGTATTTGTACACGGGCATAAATGTGTATATTGTGATCCTCCACTTTAGAAAATCTTGATGCCGATTTTTTTTAATAATGTACATGCATTAAAGTTGTACAAGGTAATTTACATCTTGGAAAAATTAAAACTATAATGAAACGTACGTAAATCCGAACTGACAAAAACAGTTTACAATAAAGAAATATTTGATTATTTTTGCTTTTTGATGTTAATAATTAAAAATAAAAAAAATAAAAAATTATTAAGGATCATTCATTATTATTATTTCACTTATTTCACTTATTTCACTTATTACACTTATTACACTTATTACACTTATTGTTTCATATTGTTTCAAAACCCATATATATGAAACAATATGGATAATAATATAATGCAAAAACATAACATTAATTTATTTAAAATGTTGCGTTACATTAGTCACCGCAAGGTCCGAAGATTAACATATATATATTTAATTATTATTATTATTTTTTTTATTCAATTACCAAAGAATGGGGAATGGAATTACCGAAGAAAATGGTGAGAAATTAAAAAAAAATGGATTAAATCATTGTGTATGATTATGTATGCGTTATAAAAATTTGATGCATTTCAACCAATTAGATGCGCATACATTTGAGATTCATCACACCTTATTTTAAGATTTTTATTTGAAGATTTAAATCATCACATACTTTGAAAATAACCACACTATTTTACCTTTCTTTTAAAAGAAAACTGTTAAGGTAACTTGCACGAGCCTAAATTTTAAATCCCGGTAAACATTTAATTATTTAAATTATGATTGATGCCGAAGATTCATATTTAATGTGGATCTTGATAATCATCGGCTAAGATTTACATGGTCAACAAATACCCTCTTTTTTTTTTTTCTTAGTGTTATAGTAAAAATTGGATATACTTTGAACCAACAATAAATTTTTTATGAACTGTGACAATATATAATCATAATAAGTAATTACACTATCTTATATTAGTATTTGTTTAGTCCATAGATGCCAAGTGCAAAGCCAGAAAATGCATGCAAATACTATAAATTGAATAGCTTTTTTTCAATTCCTGCAAGCGGAAATTCCTAACTAAAAACACTAAGGCGATCTTTGTTTACCAATTAATACATGATATGCATGCTCTTTATTGATACGTCCGGTATCGAATATTTGTATGGTACGTATCATATCTTTCAATATCTTCAGTAACTCCATGCGGAAAGATTGATGGTCCGGATTCGGATAAATCATTTTCGAAAACCATAAATCCATGCGTTTTACATCATAAAATATATATTTTTTTAATTATATAATCAAACTATTGATTAAACAAGCATGCACCTGTAATGAAGGATCGAACGAAAATCATCAAATATAAAAAGATTTACATCGCATTTTCTTTTTCTTTTCTTATTTTCTTTTTAAGGCGTATTCTGTTTTTTTTTTATGGTTCTACAAAAGCAACAAATAAAGCTACAGAATAAAGAAAGATTCACAACCACTATCACATACATTATTAAACTTATCTATAATTTGTTTAGGATATGTTAAGAATTTGTTTAGAAAGATGTGCATATTAGGATTGTTTGAGAAGATAAGCATCTTTAGGATGATTAACTTAAGATTTGTTTAAGATTTTTGTAAATCTTGAAAAATGGCGAATTTCATAATAATATACGAACGAATAGAATAGTACAAATACTTATCCTTGTTAATCCTGAAAGTAATAAATTCAATAAAATAACAATGTTAAGTAAAATGAATCTCATGATTGTCACACAACGAAAGAGAAGATCTTACACTTTACATATATCATTAAATACCATTAAATTGGTCTTGCTAAAACAAGAAATACTTGCCAAGATACAATCACAGCGGCTAATTCTGTTTAGATTGCGAAAAGGAAATTGATTTTCCTTTTTGTGCTAATTTAAAAAGAATTAACAGGCAAAAGAGTGGTGGATTTATGTAGTGAAACTTAAAACATTTAACGCATAAACAAAGAAATGATTTTTTTACATCTTTTTGTTGATTAGCATGTTAAATATGAAAATTACACAGTTGACACGTATTGATTCTCGTGTATAGATGAGATCTGAACAAAAAAAATGTGAGCAAATAAAAAAGATATGAAGATCAATAATAGCTATTAAGCGTAACGGTAAAGAAACATATGAAGATTAGCCTATGAGCAAATTACATTATTATAAAATTGATTATATAATACAAATTCATTCATAAATAATTGGTACCTGCATGTTAGAAAACTATATAAATACAAAACTTTTACAAACTTTTCCAACACGGTGTACGAACACTCAACAACTTTATAGTTGCTCACCGCAAAATATTAAATTTCGTTATAAATTCGTCTATTTTTTTTTTAAAATATATATATATTTTTTTTTTGCTTTCGTTTTTTTTCTCAACTTATTTTAGCTTCATTTTTTTTTTTTAAAAAAAAAGTTCTTTTTTTTTCCTTTTGCCAAAAAAATTTCTACATTTCTTAACGTATATCGACATGCAAACCCCTACTCTCCCTTCGATCAAACATCTTCTCCTTGATGCTCCAATCAATGATGTTCATGGTAAAGTAATTAAAAAATAAAAGAATAATTCAAACATTTTTTAATTGACTATTCAATTAACTTTCTCGAATGTTTTTTTTTTTTTTAGGTTCATCATTTAACTTTCCATTCTCTCATTCATCATCACCTGTAACACCAATCTCTGCTTATCCTCCAAGCTTTCCTTCTACATCTCCACAATCAACAGATGCGCATCATCTAGCTGCGATCAATGCTCATAATAAAAGCATGTCGCTTCCTTCTCATAATATTAACATTAAATCCCTACTTTCCCCTCCAGAATCACCGGATATGACACATAATTATCAACAAACTCCTTTTGAATCCTATGATGCTCAACATACTCCGAAACAAGAGCAAAGATATACTCTCCAGCAGGTGTCTGGAGAACAATGTAGTTGTTGTGCAAGAACTTCTGACGATTATCCGTCAACTCCTGTGCAAATGAATACTTATCAATATTCGCAATCGATTCAACAACGTTACCCTTATTCTATTACTAATCCCCTTCCAATTTCACCATTTGATCGAAAACAAACTACTGGAACTACGCTTCCAAGATTGAATGCGTCGGTTTTCACAAACATTGCTTCATCAAAACATTTTCCTCAAAAGAATCTTAATAATCAAGCATCTCAAAGTAGCTCTTCATGTGGAAATCGTTATCAATGTCCTTATTGTTCAAAGAGATTTTCGCGTCCAAGTTCTCTCAGAATTCATACCTATTCACATACCGGCGAAAAGCCATTTGTATGTTCTGAACCAGGATGTGGTAGAAAATTTTCTGTACAAAGTAATATGCGTAGACATCTCAGAGTTCATAGATTGGGAAGACCAGTTAAGAGAACTCGATATGATGGTGAAGTTGAAGGTGTCAAAATGTTGAATCATGCAACAATTCTTAGAGGTTGTTATTAAAAAAAAAATAATAATAATTGAGAAATTTGAGGGCTTTAAAATATTTTAATCTATATAAGAAAAAAAAAAAAAAAGTCTCACGAAGGACATTTTGAAATTCGCTTTCTTCGTTTTTTTTTTTTTCTTTTTCTTTTTTTTTAGTGCTGTATATGGGTGGGAACAAACGCGTATGTATCGTTACATATCATTTAAAAATTATTCGATTAGGTTTTCTTTGTTATAATTGGAACAACTTTTCAAACAATTTTTTCAAAAAACAAAAAAAAAGGGTAACATTCATTCGTGTTTATAGGCTGTTTCCTTTTTAATACAAAACTTTCTTTAAATCTCTGTATATAATTTTTTCCATTTTTTTTCATAGATAATCCTTTTAATTACTGTAGGTTACGCATTTATTTTCAAATATAGAACAATAATACAACATCTTTTCATATGCATTTTATTTCCACCCCTCCCGCAATAATATTATTTTTTTTATTTCATTTATGTTTCTGATTATAGAGATTTATGTTTTGTTTAATTATGAAATATGGTTTTTATGCTGAATTAGGTTTTTCTCTGGCTAATCTGACGTACTTGATAAATTATTAACTTTATATAAAACATTCAATACAATTTTAATTTGGTTTTATTGAATTAGATTTCTTTTTCTTTTCCTTTTTTTTTTTTGTTGTATCGCGTAATTTCTTGTTCATAAAAAAAAAAAAAAAAAAAATTTGAATAAAGGAAATAAAATAAACGTTATAGCAAAATCGGATAAAATCGAAATTTTCTTTTTACCTATGTACTTACATATTCATTCATTAAATTTGCTGTAAAATGTTGCTCTTTCATCCAATTATGCAAATTATAATCGAATATGTAGTAGCGGTAGTGGTTAGGTCGATGACATTTAAGCGATTATGAGTAACATGAAGATCTTAACATCTTAATATGAGCACATGTGTACAATCGGCAATAGTCTTACTAATATAAAAAACGTAATCATATATGTCTTACGTGCGTACGTATATATTCTTTGTTCATGAATAGTCTCTTGTTTTGCTATTAAAACTTAGTGGAACATTTATCGTTAATTATATCAACAAAAAAAAAAGAAAATAAAAAATCAATAATAATATTATTATCTTTGATGTGGGAACATCCGTAAATTCCTCCCCTTTAAATCTATATGTACTTACGTACATCATTACATTACTCTTTTTTTTTTAGAATACTCGGTATTCCAAATTGTAACATACTATAATGGAGAATAGGTTAGTACATTCGAATATGTGACTTTTCGTATCTAAAATAAGAAAAGATTTGGATTTTATATGGATGAAGATAAATAGGTACGCCGCATTCTTTATTTGTTCGTGATATTCCATCCAATTAAAAAGTTTTAAATCCTTGTTAACTAAAAATGAGAATAATATATTTTAGAAAATTTTAGTATTTTTTTGTTTTAAGATCCTTAAGTTTATTTGACAAGGTGAAATAGAATGCTATTGTTATTAAAATGTAATAGCTTTGTGTAATTTAATACATGAGAATATCTTTCACTAGATGAAGATTTTTTTTATTAAGATTATGGTCACACCTTATCGCTATTAAATTCTTAGTAATTTCTGATATGAGATATTTGATCTACGTACGCAAAGAGCTTATCATAAAATTTTTTATAAATTTAGCATGATTAGTAATTCAATAACAGCTTATTATAAAATTTCTATAAATTTAAAATATGATTAATAATTTAATAATTATGTTACATATCATCCGATAATTATTTGAAAATGCTATTATAGAATCATATATCCATGCTATCAAATCTTTATGTACATACAGATTGAATGATAAAATCAAATTACGTACTACATACGTACATACGACACACTTATGTACATATCGTACGTATCGTTTAAACAAACCTAACACGGGGTATACATCGATTTATATTATGTAATATGTCAATATAGGAATTTGGTATTTCCATACCCTTGTGTCGTGTGTGATGTGATGTATATACGAACAGAGTTAGAATAACAATAAAGGTGTGAACTTTGATGACAAACTACCAAAATGAAGTGTGGAAATATCTTTTCCTTAATATATAACACATTGGAATGTCATCCAAACGACTTAAATCATGTGATAATTAATTTTGACGTTGAGGTATAACTAATTGTCACAGCTTTTTGAGTAACATCTCGAGAGGCATCCTAGAATTAGTCCTAGTGATTTATCTGTATAACGTAATGATGAGAGAATTCTATCTCTTACATAATACAAATAATAGTATGCTGTCTAAATTTATTAGCTGCAACAACGTAATATGTATCACTCCTCTTTTGTTATAATTAATTGTTTGTAAAGTAACACTATTACGATAATGATTTCTTTTGTTTACAAATTAGAGAAATATGAAATCCTTGTAAAAATTTAAATAGCACTATATATATATATATATATATATATATATATTAGTTGCTTTAAATCTTGATATTTCTGTTTTAGTTTATTAAAAGGTTACAATTAAGTTTTTTTAAAATATATTATTTCATGACTAATTATAAGTATATATACAATTATAATACTGTATTTATTCAAATAGTGTTTAATTATAATAAAATAATTTATTTTATTAAAAACATTAAATAAAATTAGCCAATTAAAAATTTTAGTACTATTAAATATAAAATTATAAAATGATAATACAAAGCTTGATATAAATATATACTGTATAGTATTAACAAATATTACAAATTATAGTAAAAATAAAATAAAATAAGTATTAAATTTAACCTTAAAAAAAGTAAATTTTAATCTTATAAAATTTGATTCAATTTTTAAAAATCTTATTTTTTTAATAAAATTAAATCAAAATTTATATTAAAATTTTAAAAATTATATTTAAAAATTTTTACTATTAAAAATTTTTCAAGATTTTTTAAAATTTTATGTTTTAAAACTAAAAAAAAATTTACATTTTGTACAAGTCTAAATTTTTATAAGTAAATTGCAAAAGTATTACTAATAAAAATTGTTATTCTTTATATAAACTAAAATATTGTATTAAGAACTATAAACTTAAAATTAATATCTAAAAAGTTTATCAAAAATTTATAAATATTTTTTTGATTAAAATTTTTTTTTAAATTTATCTATTTTTAACTTACAAGTAATATATAATTTTTTTTTATAATATAAAATTAAATACTGCTATAATATAATCTTTATTTTCAAATATTATCAAATAAAATTTTATTTAAATATTTTAAAATTCAAAAAAAATAGATCATAAGCATATTTTTAATAATTTTTTAGACAAATTTGCTTGAAAAAGCCTACAGATTAAGGGATAGATATAGAAAATATAGTAAAAATAAAAAAATATAATTAGAGTTAATAAAAAAAAAAAGTTATAGCAATAACAATAAAATAATAAAGCAGATATTCTAATAAAAAAAAGAGCAAATCTGCAAGACTCAGATAAAAGTATAGTAAAATAAGTTTTAAGATCTAATATATTACTTTTTTAGAAAAATATAATAGTAAAAAACCTAATATAAGACTTTATTAAAGAAGTTCTTAATATTAAAAACAATGCAAATTAGAGAACAAGAAGAAAAAAAGTATTGCTAAATGCTATTATAGAAAAAATCAAAAACAAGAGTGAAATTAGATGCATTACAACTAAAAAAAATAAAAGACTTAGTATGCTTTATAAATGCATACAAAAAAGAATATTAATACTTAAAAAACTAATAACAAAACATTTAGATCTATATATAAAGTTAGACTACATTATATACAAAGAAGAAAAAGAAGAAGATTAAGATTACTTGGCAGTCTGTTCCTTTTATAAGAATCTTTGGCTAAAGACAAAAATACTAGCAATAATAATGGTATTGAAATATATTATTAGATAACAAAAAAAAATATTATACAAATGCAACTAAAAAAAGTAATTTGGGATCAAATAAAAAAAAAATAAAAATAAGAAAGAAGCTTATCAAAGATCTTTTACAAAAAAAAGTAGTCAAAAAAGTATAAAATATATTAGTCTTATTAAAAAAAATAAGAAATTTCTTAGCAAGTACTATAAATATAATATAAAATAAGTTTTATAAAACAATTTAGAAGAAAAAATACAGCAAAGTATATAAATAAGAAAAAGGTCAAAGCATCAATACAAAAAAGAAAAAAAACAAGAACCAAGTATTAGAATGACAAACTAGAGCAGTAAACAGAGTAATAGTAAAATCAAAAAATAGAAAATTGAAAAAAAAAATATAAAAGAAAAAAAAAAACAAAAAAAGGAAATAGAAAGATTATGAAAGAATATAATAAGAAGGTTAATTAATATTAATAAGAGGCCTTACTGAAACAGTCTCAAAGGCTAGTCTGAATAGTCTTCTAGCAATAAGTAAAAACTTATGCTAGTATGATAGATTATTTTTGAGTACTAATACAATAGCCAAAGAATATTAAATCTAAAAATTAAGCTAAAATTTGTATAATTAAATATGCATTCTTTTAATAAAGAATATTGGCAAGGCTGCTAAAGAATTAAAAAAAAACTATAGAAAATTGATATTTTTATATTTTTTTTTAATATTGCTACATCTTTCTTATTTCTAAACTACCAAATTTCTAGTAATTTATATTTATATTTATTAACAAAAATATGACAATATTAAAAAAAAGTATAAAATTATCTAAGTTATTAAATATGTATTTATTTTTTTTTAGAATTAAGATGAGGCCTTGCTTATATCTTTATTAATAATTTTAACTATATATTTTAGTATAAAAATACTGAAATAAACTAAGATTGTTTATAACAAAATAAAAATTATATACAAGAATAAGAGCTCAAACTAGTTTATTTGTAATCTAAACCAAAATATACTATTTATATGTATTTAAATTTTATAAATAATTATATATAATTTATAAGATTTAATAATTTTAAAAAATATATATTAGAAATATAAAAAAATGTGACAACTTAA